CACCCAGGGTAGGGGTCAACCCTTTTTGCTGTTCAGCCTAAGGTAGGATTTGAACTTGGGTCTAACAATCACAAGTCGAAGCAACAACATCTATGCAGTAACCAGTATAGACAACATTATGACTTGTCTATGTACCAACTTTGGAAAAAAAAGTCTAGATTCATCCCAGAAAATAATTAAGAACACATAAAAACAAAACCATGTCTGCCAGATGGCCATTTTGAATCAAATCACAATACAAACTGGCATGCACTAGTTACCTATCCAGTGTGATGTTCATACAAAGAGAAACAGTTGATGACATGTTAATTGAAAAAAGCAACCATCAATATCTAAAAATAACTCAAGGAATCATGTACCAGGCACACAAAATGTCTTGCCTTCATACATGTACCAAATACAGACATAAATTGTAAAAGTGTATCCAAGGAACGTGAAGAAAATAACGCCAGTTGACCATTTTAAATTAAATCACGAAACAAACTTGCATCAGTAGTCCACCATGTCTGATCTAAGTTTATTATTATTATTATTATTCTTATTTCAGGTACAAAAAATGAATTGGGGCCATTAGTTGATGATGGCATGTTCAAATATCAATGAAGCAAAAAACAAAATAATTTGCATTTGTCTTTGGACACAATACAGTACGTCATTGGATGCAAGGATGGATGACACACAGACAGACAGACAGACAGACGGGACATAAAACATAAGTTCCTGTTGCAGTGTACAATGTGATCATATTTAACAAAATATTAATTAAACCTACCTATAGAGGAGTTCTGTAAATAAGCCTAATATTTCCACTTGCAAGTTGGAGTCAGTGTACGCATACACTCTGTAGTTAGTTTCAACCATAATAAACCCAGTTCTGTTTGCATCTGTTGTAACGTTTGATAGACCTACAACCAAATACAATTTTAGAAACAGAGTCTACAATGACAATAAAACAAATTATTAAAAATGACACAGTCCTTGTTGGTAATTTCCAATGTGATCTAAATACCAGATATGGTTTTGATACATTTTAAACATTAAAATGGCTGTAAGTTGGCCATTTTTGAATCACATGAGTGTATGTACATATGTGTGATATATGTGTGTGTGAAGTTTGAACATAAACGACACAGGCATGTCTGAGATACAGGTGTGAACAAACGGATGAACGCACTGACAGATGCACATTTCGCAGACTGATTATATAATTATTATTTAAAAGGCAAGTAAATGTTTATGCGTACATATATGTATCAATGGCTGCAATTCATTAAAACTTATGAAAATTTTACCAAATGAATTGTGGGATATATACTTGGTGAACATAAAAAGTGAGATGCATCATGGGAGAACTACCAAGCATTTAGGGCTTCATGATCATGATTAATATTACATACCGGGAGGGGGGGGGGGTAGTACAAAATTATGATATGGAACTGTTCCGATGACAAAATATTTGGGAATTTTATAAATGACTAGATGAGAGTACCCGAGGCTAAATTGATGGCCAGTCTGCTTGGATAATACCGTTTCGACTTTCTCTGAAACAAAAAAAAAGAATTGCTTGTCAGGTATGATTGAACATTTACATAATTCAGATGTCATAACTGACAATATCACATCGCATCAGACTCATGTTCGGTAGACCCAAGTTCAAATCCTACCTTAGGCTGAACATCAAAGGGTCGACCCCTACCCTGGGTGAGTGTGCCACAGACTCAATGGGAAGGCCAATTCCACTGGCCGAGATTCTAAACCATACCCTGTATAAACTGGAAACCTGTCTAAACTGAGCCTTGTGTAAAATTTAGACCTGTTTAAACTAAACTATTAGTCACTATATGTGTAAAATGAAGACAAAACCCTGTGTAAAATAAAATCGTATGTATAATGGAGAACTATCTAAACCATACCCTTTATAAACTGGAAACCTGTCTAAACTGAACTTTGTGTAAAATTTAGACCTGTTTAACCTAAACTATGTGTAAAATGAAGACAAAACCTTGTGTAAAATAGAAATCTGTCTAAACTGACCATGTGTAAACCAAACCCTGTGGCTGCCTATGTAAAATGGGAGACTTGTCTAAACCAGGCCTGTAATAAATGAATACTGTAGAATACTTTATTTTCGCTTAGAATTTATTTTCGCTATTTTCGCTGAACAGATGATTCCGTGAAAATAAAATCCAGCGAATATATTTTTTTTTCTATATTTCACATTAAACTCATCAAAAATCAGTGAAAATAAATTCCATACGAAACGCTCAAAAAGTCTTTTCAGCGAAAATTAATTCCAGCGAAAATAAAGTATTCCACAGTACTGCAAAATACTTTATTTTAGCTGGAATTAATTCTCGTATGAAGTTTATTTTGTATGAAGTTAATTTCGTATGAAGTTTATTTTCACTCACTTCTGATGAGTAACGAAAATAAACTTCGAATGAAAATAAAGTACTTTACAGTGAATAAATAAATAAAATGTTGGTACCTTTCTTTGGAACACTAATCCTAACTCTCTGAGATGTTGAAGAAATTGTAACTGTGAATCATTCAGGTTTTCTGTTGAATAGTCCTGAAAGACAACAGTGTATCAGATGTAGATTGGGTCAGACACTAACAATAATTGCCCAGCATATTTTTCAAAATAAAATCCAGCTACAGTGTGTTTTTTTCTTTTGTATCCTAAAGCACAGATTTTTTTCAAAGAAAAATTAGTTTATACAATTATATTATTTAAAAATTAATTTACGCAAAATGGGATCATGGACAGTTCTTAAAATAGTTAAACTAGATGAGAAAATTATGGTCTGGTCTTGTATTTTCGTATCATTTCTGTGCACCACAATAACCAACCACAATGCCATTCTGAGTTCTTCAAACTCCAAAAAATAAATCTACAGAACAAGTTATATTTGGTCCTGGTCTAAATATGATAACTTTTGCAAGCTTTTCTTAACTTTGCCTGAAAACAATGATTTGAAAAGTTTGTTTATTTATGACTATTTTTTTGGTATTAAATTTTTTTTATACCGCATCCGGGACCGCATCCTAGTCCCAACATCTGACTCAATACATATGGAAGTTGAGGCGACCAAGTTATGATATATAAAAAACCTAATAACTGCAAATAAAACTGATTTTAATCAGATTGTTCAAATACTTACCTTACCTAGTGATGAAAAACTCAGCTGAAATAAGAAATTTAAAGCCTCAACAAGATCTAGATTTCTTGCCTATACAATAAAGTAAAAATAGGTTATAAAAATACAACAAACAAATTACAGTATTGAATGCAATCAGACATGTAGTGGAGGATGTTACAATACTCTATGGTATTGAATGCAATCAGACATGTAGTGGAGGATGTTACAATACTCTATGGTACTGAATGCAATCAGACATGTAGTGGAGGATGTTACAATACTCTATGGTATTGAATGCAATCAGACATGTAGTGGAGGATGTTACAATACTCTATGGTATTGAATGCAATCAGGCATGTAGTGGAGGATGTTACAATACTCTATGGTATTGAATGCAATCAGACATGTAGTGGAGGATGTTACAATACTCTATGGTATTGAATGCAATCAGACATGTAGTGGAGGATGTTACAATACTCTATGGTATTGAATGCAATCAGACATGTAGTGGAGGATGTTACAATACTCTATGGTATTGAATGCAATCAGACATGTAGTGGAGGATGTTACAATACTCTATGGTATTGAATGCAATCAGGCATGTAGTGGAGGATGTTACAATACTCTATGGTATTGAATGCAATCAGACATGTAGTGGAGGATGTTACAATACTCTATGGTATTGAATGCAATCAGACATGTAGTGGAGGATGTTACAATACTCTATGGTATTGAATGCAATCAGACATGTAGTGGAGGATGTTACAATACTCTATGGTATTGAATGCAATCAGGCATGTAGTGGAGGA